CTGAAAGCTTTTTCTGAGGGCGAAAACCCCCATCGACATGGTACTCATTTTCAGCTGAAATCGTCCCAAGAAGCCGAATTTAACAACAGAATCGCAATCCGCTCAACGGTTTTCGAGAAAATTCGAATTTTCATGGATAAAATGCGGTGATTTCAGATGGCCGAGTTCCCACTGGAGCCGAACCTCTCGAAGATGCTGATCATGTCGGTGGCGCTGCAGTGCTCCGACGAAATCCTGACCATCGTGAGCATGCTGAGCGTGCAGAACGTCTTCTATCGGCCGAAGGACAAGCAGGCGCTGGCCGACCAGAAGAAGGCCAAGTTCAATCAGCCGGAGGGCGACCATCTGACGCTGCTCGCCGTCTACAACAGCTGGAAGAACAACAAGTTCTCCAACGCGTGGTGCTACGAGAACTTCGTCCAGATCCGGACGCTCAAGCGGGCGCAGGACGTCCGCAAACAGCTGCTCGGCATCATGGACAGGCACAAGCTGGACGTGGTGTCCGCCGAGCGCAACACCGTGCGCGTCCAGAAGGCCATTTGCTCGGGGTTTTTCCGCAACGCCGCCAAAAAGGACCCGCAGGAGGGCTACCGCACGCTGGTGGACAGCCAGGTGGTCTACATCCATCCGTCCAGCGCCCTCTTCAATCGCCAGCCCGAATGGTAAGTGGATGGGGGCGCTCATGCGGCTGTTTTTCCATTCTTGGGCCTTTGCAGGGTGATCTACCACGAGCTGGTGTGCACCACGAAGGAGTACATGCGGGAGGTGACCACCATCGACCCCAAGTGGCTGGTGGAGTTCGCGCCCGCCTTCTTCAAGTTCTCCGACCCGACCAAGCTGAGCAAGTTCAAGAAGAACCAGCGGCTCGAGCCGCTGTACAACAAGTACGAGGAGCCGAACGCCTGGCGGATCTCGCGCGTGCGGCGCCGCCGCAACTGAGCCGCCCCCCCGGGGCCCCCAGTTTGTACATATCTGCTAGTTAAACTAAGCCACGTTGTACATAAGTTCTGTATTGTTGAGGCTGGTTCATTTTTTTACAGTTACAATTTTTGTCTTTAAAGAAGACATAATTTCCTCACGTCTTTTCCTCCCAATTCGCAATAAGAATCGTCGGTTGCCTATCCCGATTGTGACGTAGCAAGTCATATCGACAAAGTGTCTCGGGTTTATTTTGTTGCTGTCGCAGCTTTGGTTTATTACTTCAGTTATTGTGATTAACATTATTTTATTGATTATTATTGTCATCTTATTGTTAACCAAAGAGCTATTTTTAATTTGGAAAACGTTGAGCCCAGAGATCGCTTTACCAATTTTCGGTTTCAGAAGCAATCCATTCCAAACACATTAAATGAAAATCCAAAATAAAATCGTTAGGTTATGGGTGAGAAGCTAGAAGCTGTGCTTGCGATGTTAGTGGTGTTGCCAAAGTTCAAATTTGCCCAAACAATTTCACATAAAATCCGTAAGTAATAATTAATGTAATTAATAATATTAGAAATACGTCAAATATGTCAACATCGGCGTTCTGCTGATTAACGTCACCGCTAATAACATAAACGGTTATTTATTTACTAATGCGCATGCTCAGAATAACGGATAACGTAAAACGTTAAACTAAAAACAGATGTAGATAAGTTCTATATCGTTGAGGCGGATTCATTTTTTTACAAACATCTTTTTGGGTATTTCGAAAATTTTTGTCTTTAAAAAAGACAGAATTTCCTCACGTCTTTTATTACAGATTGAGAAAAAAAATTGCACCAAAATTATTAATTAACATTTCCTTTATTAATTTAAACAATGAGATTAAGTCAAAGTGACAACTGACAATTTGCACAGACGAATTATCAGAGCGAATTTTCATATACTGTATTAGCCTACTATTGTTACACAATTAATTAACATACTCTTTTTTAGGTTCTTTTGATAACGATAGCAGAAAAAAGCTATCGAAACGTCAAGGCAATTTTTGATACAAGGGCGAAAAACAATTTTTCGCCCTCGTATCGAACACGATTTTTTATTCGAATGAAAGATTACACGAATAATAAAATGCATCGATTTCATATTGAAAATTTTGTGGCAATGTCATTTTTTGAAATGTCATGTTTTGAAGTTTGTAATTAAGTTCAAGTACTTTTTCAACGTGAAACACCTGTGGTCTTGGGATGGTGTATGCATGTTGCATACTCTGCATGACRTGTGCGCTTCTTAAAAARATCGTGTTTCACGTGTGACAACATCGCAAAAGTGGATAAGTAGGCCATTAAAACGATTATGAGACTGAACTTGYAACRAAGGTATAATTTACAAATTGTCAGTAAACTTGAAAATAGGATCAATAGTTGTTGATAAACCKACGTAATTCYKTRMGRMACMAKTYCGGTTRYKTKWAARTAAAAATACTAGAAAATATATAATGACAGTGGCAMGYTCAAAGTGTCACATTTAGTGCTTCTTTTTGATCATCGCTTCTGTTCGCAAAATGGCACTGTTTGATTGATTCGAATAAAAATTAATTTCTCTACTAACACTACAATCTGAAATGAGGCGAAGTGCCCAAAAAGAAGTTGGTAAAAAAACAAGTCACATAAGAAGTCGATTGCCTCACGCCTAAACTACCGATGGTGCAGGCTTGGGGGGCTGCGGGCCTGCGGCCTCCAGGCGAGGCGGGCGCGCGGAGGCTGCGCCTCCGTCAGCTTCCGCCTGGGCACGTGGCGCAGCGCGTGCCTCCAATCGCCGCTCTCCTTCAGGTCCAGCAGAATCCTTACGCATTGGTTGAGGGTGAGGCTCTTGCCCGAGCCGCCGCCCCACTGCAGGTAGCGGTCGAGCGGGAACTTGCGCATCTGCAGCCCCTCGCGCTTCGCCTTGGCCAGCGACAGCGGCTCGTTGTTCAGCTGAAAGCAAGAGGATCAGCCCGCGCTCGGCCCCACAGCCCCCGGCTCACCTTGTCCACTATGCCCCCAATGATGTAGATGGCGTCGTGGTCGAAGCGCTCCATCTCCTCGCGGCAGTGGGGGGTGAGGTAGACCAGCCGCCCCTTGGGGAACACCTCCAGGTAGCTCCCCTCGTGCACGTTCATGGGGAAGGCCGGCTCGTACATGGTGGGGATGATTTTCTGCAGCATCTGCGTCAGCTCGCTCTCCGGCCGCAGGCTGGTGTAGTGGATGTCGAAGGGGTCTGCAAACGGGGCGTTCAGGTGGTCAGAAAAGTCGCGATTTTTTACTAAATCAATCGGTAAAGCCGCTTAATTAGCTGTTTTAAGGTCATTGCAACTGTTGCCGATGAGATTCAAGCTAAGCTGAATCGATTCAATATTCAATCAGTTATGTGACTTTCACTTAATCTCATTGTTTAAATTAATAAACGTAATGTTAATTAATAATTTGGGTGTCTGTTTCTTTGGTCTACTTCAGATTTCAGCATACTATTAATAGCGTTTTCTATTTTGATTTAAGCCAACCGCGCCACTCACCCTTATGGAAGCGGTTGTCGGAGAAGAGCATCATGAGCTGTTTGGCGGCGTTTTGGTTCTCGCGCCGGCTCATGTGGCGGTCGAAGCCGCAGTCCAGCACCAGCTTCTGGCCGAAGTCGCAGGCCTTCGCCAGGCGCCCGTTGTAGAAGTGGTTGATGCTGGTGTCGTAGAAGCGCAGGAAAATGTTGTTGGCCGCCAGCCCGTAGGTCTGCGCGTGCTCCTCCATGCCCAGCACTTCTCGGGGGCCCATCGCCGCCTTGGCCTCCTCAAACTGCTGGCGCCGCGCCTCCTTTTTCTCCTAAAAACAGCATCCTTCAACCGCCCATCGGGTTCACACAGCCACTCAGTTACCTGCTGGTGTTCCTTGGCCTTGGCCGTCTTAAACAGGTACTCCAAATACTTCCGCCGGCCGCTCCGCGACCCCAACTTGAGCAGGTTGCCCCAGATCGGGGGGCTCATGAACTCCTGGGGCGGCACCAGCTGCCCCTCCTGCCGCATCACTTCCGTCTCCAGCATGATCACCTTCAGCTTGTGCTCCAGCTCGGGGTCCCCCTTGGTGAACGCGGCCAGCCCTAAAACGCCCGGGGGCTGCGGCCGTGGGGGGGCTTCGCCCGCATCGGGGGCCCCGCCGGCCTGGCTGCACTGCCGCGTCCCCCCACTCGCCCTTTTACACACAGTGAGCGCCCTGCGGCCCCAGTTCAACATTGTCTTGACGGGCTGCTAGCGGTTGACGCTTGGTGAGGTTAGGGACGCACCGGCCAGGCGTTCGGGCGTGGCCGCTTGGGGGAAACCCCCCGGGGGCTGCGCCATAATTTTGGGAAAAACCCGCAAAATTCTGTGGGAATCCGGGGGCGCGGCCCCCCGATTCCCATCGCGCGCAAACAATTTTCTCCAGGGGCCACGCCCCAATGCTCGCCAACTGAACGGAAGTTTGACGCACTCGCCGGAAACAGTCGCCATTATCAAAAGTGTCATTTTCGACAAGGTCACCGGGAATTGGGGAAATTTGCGTCCAAATTGGGCGAAAACGGGGCGGAACCAGCCAGAAACCGCGGCCTTTGTTGGTGATTCGCGTGCAGTGCGGGCGCTCCAGTGCCAGGCAGCCGAAGGCCCCCGAAAATGGTGGACGACCTAGGTGAGTGCAAACCAGCAGTCCTAACCTCAAAGGGCCCCCGCTTGCGCGACTCAGCCCTGACCGACTGGTCATGTAGCCCTGAAGCTTCACGTTCTCTGGTCATCAACTGGAACAATCTCCGCGTGGCGCATTCGCCTTTCTATCCAACCCCCCCATTTTGGGCCCCCGATGATGTCATCGCCAAGGCGACCAGATCCATGGGCCATGGCCAGGGTTGCCAGGTCAGAAAATCGAGTCGGTAGAAGATCGGTAGACTCAATTTTCTTTTATTATTAAGGGCTCCATCTGGTGAGGTTTTGGAAATGCTCTGCTACGCACACCTAGAGCTGGTTGGGTGGTCCAAAACCTCACCAAAAAAAAAGCAATAAAAAAAGGCTCCATAAAATTGCGCGTTTTTCCAAACTTGAATTTTTACACTTACCGGAATACTGAAATAAACATGAGTCAGTAAAGAAGTAAAAAAGTAAGTAAGTAAAAACTCTGCAATATTTCCAGAATTTTTTTAAATCTCTTCAACATTTTGCAACTGACGTCATTCTGTGTCCAGACCTTGTAATTCACTATCATTCATTAAATTTGGAAATATCATTGCAACATCAGAAATGGATTGTAGCGATTGTTGGACTGATTTTACTATTGCATGATCCATAAAACATAATTTTATCATATTTATGATCTATATGGCGAGGTTGATTCATTTTATGTTTGAAAAATAACTGTAAAATACTGCTATTACCAACGTACTTTGATCATGAATGGAAATATGTTATTATTAACTTTTTTAAACTTTTATTTGTTATCGTTCTCTCCTTGACAAATCGGTAGATCTACCGAAAAATCGGTAGACCTGGCATCTCTGCCCGGCAGCTGCACGTTCTCTGGTCATCAACTGGAACAATGCCCACGTGGCGCATTCGCCTTTCTGTCCAACCCCCCATTTTGGGCCCCCGATGATGTCATCGCCAAGGCGACCAGATGGTTTCCATGGGCCATGGCAAACCACCTGTTTGGCACGGCCTGTGATTGGGCGACTTTCACTTGTTTCATCTGGGCAGCTGGCCATTGGCCGCCTACGCGGCGCCGGCAGTTCTAATTCGGTCGCAGGTGCGCGGAGCGCACGCGTCTTCTGGGAAATTCGACTAAAGAAAAAAACAACAGCGAAAATGTCCCCGATGTTCGGTTGAGGCTTTTCCGGTTTTCACGCACGCACGTGATTTTGTCCGCGGGTTTTGTCGCGATGGATCGCTCGATGTACGGGAAAATGGTGCCGGGGACGAGGAACCCGTTCGAGTGCACCATGAAGCACGGAACCGCCGCCCCTGGATGTACGTGAGTCGCCCACTAGATTTACGAATTAGATTAGAGCGCTCGTGCGGTTTCACATTGGGCCACTGTGTACCGGCTGGCCACGTTGCCGATGATTGCGCAGAGTAGTGCGTGAGAATGGTCAAGGCCGCCGCCCCTCCGCCCATAGATAAAGACGAGTATAGATTACCGACTCTCTTGCACCATGTGGAAGCAATGTCTATCCTGCCGCCATCTATGATGGGCCCAGGCACAACTGCGCCACGCCCTTCTTGCGGGGTTTGCGTCTCTGCTACTGCTGTTCAGGGTTTGCTTCCTTGAAAATAAATTAAGATATGTTTAATATTCAG